CTTCTGTGTTTACAATTTTTTTTAAATTTTACTAGTGTGATAAATGGATCTGGGGAACCAAGAAAATGACCACCCAATCTACAGTATTTGAGCCAGGCTGCAAGTCCTGCTGAGAATTTATTCTAATGCAAATAAATGGTTGCCATGCCTTACTCTGAGTGGTCAGAGCTTGGCCTCATATTACTTACTACATAGCTGGTTATCCAAGTGGTCCACTTGATAAGCAGAATGCACTTGGGAATACCGAGTGTAACCTTGCCTACATATTTGTATTTCATTATATGTATGTTGGCGTTTGAAGATACTGTCTCAGATATGGTGGCAGTGAAAAATTATTTTTAGAATGCAGAAAACGAAACTGTGCCGCTCATCTTCTACCACACACAGGCTCCGCATAAACGGGTCACGGATGTCAAAATGAACCCTGATACTCTGACAAAGCCAAAGGACATGGGAGAGAAAATACTCCCACATCTAAGCACAGGTAAGGGTTTTCTGAATAGGACTCTCAGCTAATAGGAAATGAGACTAAAAATTAACAAAAAGGAACTCATGAAATTAAGACTTTTCATTAAAGGAAAAGAAAATATCATTTAAATGGTAGCACAGAGAATGTGAGAAAGTCACTGGTGCAGCAGTGACATGGAGCTAGTGTTTAATTAATTTCCTTCTGAGCTGCACTGTAGGAAGGAATTAGTACAGCACACAGTACACAGTAGCTGGTCAGAAGACTGTGGCTGCAAGGGTCATGGCCCTTTAAGATTATGCTACTAGTAACTGCTTTGTAAATGTTTCTGTTTATCCAAATAGATCTCTTCAGCTGTCAGCCTTGGTCAGAGGTTCTTCTTTCTGTAGTAGGCAGCAGTAAATGCACAGCCTGGAAACTTCAAATGCTGAAGTAACCATGAACGCTGAAGTCCTAAATGGGGCATGAAGTCCAGCCACTCACCATAGATTTAGGGAGCATACAGAAATAGGTCCTGCATATCATGACTGAGGATGAGGGGACCTGCTGTGAAATGCTGTCTTTTGGATATGACATAGCCATAGTTCACTCACAGGAGGTATGATCACCTACAGCTTCAGATAAACATCTTCAGTACTAACCTAGAATATATCTATCTATCCTGAACCAGAGAGCTGGAAGAAAAAGCTCACTGTACCTTTGTCTTTGGAAAGAAAATTAAAAAGGAAGCTAGAAATTGACCATTGGTATTATTTATCAGTTCCCCCTTTCTTTACCTGTCTGCCTCCCAGGGAAGACTGTAATTCCTAGTCTCACAAATTAATGAGTTTATTGAAGTTAATTAACAGGGATATAAGTGAGGGATTACTTTCAGGAATATGAGTAACTCATATGCAGTAGCATCACAAAGGCTCATATTAAAATGGGTGACTCATGAAAACTAGAAACCTGAGTGTCTCTCCAAGACTCATCTCTCCGCCTGTCCTACTCACTACCTATGTAACATTGGGAGGGGAAGGGCCTTGTTAATCTTGTAAGTTTCAGCTTTCCCAGCCATGGTCTAATGCCCAAGTCTTGCCAACCTCCTCTGTCTTTCCATAGAACTTTCTGAGCCTTCATGAAACAGTCTTACCCAGGGAAGAGCATACAAGTTGGATATCCAATATCATACATGCTAGCTATATAGAATGATCAGTTTGCAGTTAGCAAAATACAACTGCATGCATATACACATGCATGTAACAATAATTAATGAAAAGAGATGTCATAAATTAGACAAGGATTAAGGAAGAATGTAAGGAGGATCTGAAAATATGAAAGGGAAGAGAAAATAATGTAATTTTCTCAAAAATAACAGAAAAAAATTCATGTGAAAGAAGGGAAAATTGTTACACAACACTCCACCCCTTCTTTCAAATGTTAGTTGTTTCCACAAAATCACATTCTACCACGGAGCTCTGCAAAGGTACTAAAGTCACAGGCCAGTTCTGACATCCCTGGTGAAGCCACCTTTTTATGTTTCACCTCTTCTGTAAGCACAGCTCCATCGTGGCCCGTGAATTGGCCCTAAAGCTTTGCATCTCTCCTTCCTTCATCATCTCCCAGTACATGATATTTGTGAGAGCTCTGCTTGTGATAACCAAGCATCCCAATGCTTCCTTTGAGCCAGTCCATCAGGAAATGATTCCTCTCAGATTTCCTTAGCTTGTGTAGCCTTTATTGCAAGGAGATCTGAGTAAGTACACGACTCACCTTCCCACTTCTCTAGCACTCAGATTGATCCCATCAATAGTTTACCGCCTCATGAGCCGAGCTGTGACGGGAAATTTCCTTGATCTTTTGAAAGTCTTTCCAACTCAAGCAGTTGAGAGACATTGGACGCCCTGACCAAGACAGTATCCTTCCCTTTGCAGGCCATTTTAAGGCTCTGAAATGCAAGTTCAAACCTAGATTTTCCTTTTCTCCGTATAAAATGTTCAACCTAAGTGACAGGTACCTTCTATCACCTTTATTCCAAATAGAGAATTATAATTGTGTGGCAGTGTGTAGATTTTAGGACTAAGACATTTTTAACAAATACTGCATTTTTATATATGATCTTGATTTTTTTTATCTTCCTCAAACTTTGTTTTATGATTAAATCTATTTTCTGGCTCTGTCCACATATTTCCATTTTCATTGAGAAAACTCTACAGATTTTACCTCACAACAAACATTTATTTAGTCAGAAAGAGGTTTTGGGAACATGACAGAGAACTAATTGTACCAACCCACTGTAACCATTTCCTCTAAATTACATTTGTCACATAAGGAAACAAAGATGAGCAGTTTTTTTAATTGTTTGTTTGTTTGTTGCATCTCTGTATGCTTCAAGAGGAGACAGGGACAAATTGTTGACAGCAACCTGGGTTTCTCACACTTCAAATTTTTCCAAGTATTTAAATGACTTAAAAAGTACTCCTGTAGTTTTTAATACAATATTTTTAAATGTGTTGCTCTGAATTACGTCTGATAACTTTTGATTAATATGATGGTATGTATTTTCCTGTGCAAACTGAAATGAATTGGTTGGACAGTATGTCAGAACACATCAGAAAACACTTAATTTTAAACCTCCTCTGGTATTTATCTTAAATTGTTGCTACAAATCTGTCTGGGATAAGGGTTCTGACTGAAGTACCATGTTTTCTAAAACAGTTCCGATTTCCAAAAGTTTATATTAGTAGTAGAGCGTAAGCCTTAGTTTTTTATTTAAACTCCATGGTGAACTGTTTCTTATCACATTACAAACAATAGGAAAAGTGAGCTCAATTAGTCATAAAGAATTTTAATCTGTACATGACGTTCTTAAAGAGCCAATGCTATTGTAAGCAGGACCCAGAAGTATAGACTCTCCAGTGTCCTTCCCTGAAGGAGCTTGCACCTGAAGAACTACATCTCCTTTTCATTCCCAGTCATTTCTGCTAACTAGTTCTGGGCTTCAGGAAAATCGTTTAAATAACCTTGGTTTCAAGCATTTTCATTCATAACAGAAAATTTCCAGCTCCTGTTGCTTTGAGACAGTCACTGTGCTGATGTTCTGATTTCTATTGCTCTTGTTGGACTACTTTTCTTGAAAAGGGAATGCTAAAAGAAGATAAATTTACAACGGAAAACAGTTTCTTACATTCAGATGTTTAAGCCAGTGGAGGAAAAGAAGATCCTTCAATGCTGTTGCTCTGGGTTTTTCATCAGCACTGTTTCCCTTAAACCACGTGAGCACTGGTAAGACAAGGAAAACAGCAGAGCTTGCTGGTAAACCCTTGGATCTCCTGTTTATTGTTTAGGCTATTTGATTTGGGTCCCATGTACAAAAGAATAAACAACAATGAAATCCCAACTTCCAGACCCAACACCTGAAACCTCATCCCATTTCCAGCCCTGTTTCCTCTTGATTTTGTTTACTTTTTTAAAATGCCAGGTTAATCGTTAATTTTTATTTTTATTATTTTTAATTCTGTACAGTGTATGTATGTGGGTATGTTCACACGAGTGAAGGTGAGGCCAGAGAGGCCAGAGGCAATGGATTTTCTGGAGTGGGCAGAAGTCACAGGCAGTTTTGAACTGTTTGAGGAACAGATCTTGGGTCCTCTATACTCCATACAGAGTAATCCATCTTAACCTTGGAGGCATCTGTTCAGCCCCTGCTTTCAACCTTATTAAAATTGCCCGTCAGGTCCAGCACGGTAGCAGACACCTATAATCTCAGGCACTCAGGGAGCTGAAGAAGATGACTGTAAATTCCAAGTTAGTCCCAGCTGCAAATCTCTGGGACTTCGAGGCCACTTGGTTTACATAGAGATTTCTGTGAGTTTAGAGGGCGGCCCTGTCTAGGTATAAAAATCCAGGGGCTATGTAGAGAGACCCTGCCTCAAATGATAGTTGATAGATAGATAGATAGATAGATAGATAGATAGATAGATAGATGATAGATGACAAATGATAAATGAAAAAGTTAAATAAACATGGACATAAATTTAATTAATTTGGAACAAAACAAACAAGGAATAGCAGTGCTGGTGATCTGGCCTACAGTCCTAAGCATCACCCTCGCCCTCAGGGCCTGAAGCCCTAGGCCCCATCCTCTCAGTTTTGCATAAACTGGGTGTGCTGGCCCATGCCTATAATCACAGCACTCAGGAGGTGGAAAGAGGAAGACCAGCCCTACGCCCTCCCTACACACCGCGGGTTGGAAAGTGGCCCCGACACTGGATGCGTGCTCTGCTGTACCAAGTCCAGTGTTCCTATGCTCCCCTCCCAGACACACCCCGAAGAAACTTTATTCAGGGTGACCCAGAACCCACACAAGCCCAGAAACAAAAAAATTAACGATGATGATATTCCTTTTTGTTGTTATTGCTGGCAGTTTCTGTTCTTAAGTACCTCCGAGAAATATGCTTTCTTTGATCCGAGTACCTTAAAGATAATCAAGTATTTTTCGGTTAAAATAGGGAAACTAGCACGTGTACAATTTTCACCACTGTCTTTGTTTCGTCTAACTAAGAAGCTCCTCAGACATAACCTGAAATACTAAAATGGATAACAAAAACTTGTGAACAGCCTGTTTACACTCCCACCTGTTGTGACTCTGTCTTTCACAGTCACTGAACGATCTTACACCTTGGTGAATTGTAGAAAACCTGAGAGAAAGCCAGAATGCTCATCTGTACATGGAAGTAACAGGTCACTGCCTATACATTGTTGCTTTCTGATTTGCTTATATTTTTATGTGTGCATGGATGTGAGCTGTGTGTGTGTGTGTGTGTGTGTGTGTGTGTGTGTGTGTGTGTGTGTGTGTGTGTTGTGAGACAGGGTGTAGTTTTTGTTTTATTTGTTCGTTTGTTTGTTTTTTTACCCATTGTGGGCCCGCCACTCAGCTCTCAAATAAATACACAGGGGCTGATTCTTACTTTTGATGCCCAGCCTTAGCTTGGCTTGCTTCTAGCCAGCTTTTCTAACAAATTATCCCATTTCTCTTTAACTGTTTTGCTTCTGGGCTTTTTGCCTTTCTTTATTCTATGTATCTTTCTTTCCTTCTTACTCTGTGGCTGACTGTGTGGCTAGGTGGCTGGCCCCTGGTGCTCTCCTCTCCTTCTCCTTTTCTCGATCCTCCTCTTCTCTCGAGCCTAGATTTCTCCTATTTATTCTCTCGGCCTGGCCGTTCCACCTATCCCTCTACTGCATAGCTACTGGTCATTCAGCTCTTTATTGGACCAGTTAGGTGTTTTAGACAGGCACAGTAACACAGCTTTCCAGAGTTAAACAAATGCAACACATCTTTGCATCATTAAACAAATATTCCACAGCATAAATGAATGTAACGCATCTTAAACTAATACTCCACAGCAATAGGGCAGGCACGTGTGATATGTGAGGTGGGGGCAGGTGGCATCCAAACTTGGTGTTGGGTGAGAGGCAACAGTAACTCCATGCCATGATTCAGGTCTTGTTTTATGTATTGATTCATTTGTTCACTGTTTATTTGAATTCTTATACATCACCTGGAATTCCAGCATTCAATCTCATTAATTAATTTTTAGAAAATAAAAGCCAGGTCTGGAGAGAGGGCTCAGAGGTTAAGAGCACTGGCGGCTTTCCCAGAGGTCCTAAGTTCAATTCCCAGCAACCACATGGTGGCTCACAACCATGTGAATGAAATCTGGTGCCCTCTTCTGGCCTGCAGTGCAGGCATACATGCAGGCAGAATACATAATAAAAAATAAATAGAAAATAAAAGCCATCATGAAGAAGGTGCAACAAATTCCTCATACCATATTGAGCATTGCCAGTGAAATGACACCTTTTTAGTGAGACAAAGTCTAGATATGCAGGCCAGGCTGATTTTCAAGTCTTTGTATCTTCTGCTGTTCTCATATTCATAATCATACAGCTTCATGCTCTTGAGAGCTTGGATTTAAAGGCATGGTCTTCCATGAAACCATGTATTTCTTTAATATATGAAACTTTCAGTAAAATTACAAAAGTTTACGCATCAAATTTGTGGAGGGAAAATTTCAGTTTATGTAACTTGCATATTAATTTTCAGATTTGACTGACAAAGTATTGGAAATTTAAGCATCCAACTGTACACTACCAAAGAAACAACAGTATTTTCAGCCTGTGTATAGAAAGCTTTTTCTCTGGTTATTTATTGTAGATGTATCCAACCTTCTTATTAAATAATAAACACAGAACCAATGCAAAGAAGAAAGCCAAGAGGTCAGAGCTAAGAGCTAAAACCTGACCCTTCCTCCTGCGGTGGTCCTACCTCTCCGAACCAGAGCTACCCCTGTGTTAAAGTCATTATATAGAGTTCCTGTCCTGCCTTCTCATTGGTTGTAAACCCAACCACATGACCGCCTCCTCACAGCCTGTCTGTATAGGCCTCCAGGTTTTCCATGATTGGTATTAAGATTAAAAGCATGTGTATCCAATAATGGCTGTATCCCTGAACACACAGAGACCTACCCAGCTCTGCCTACCAAGTCCTGGAATCACAAGCGTACGCCACCACTGCCCTGCTTTCCTATGGCTTGCTAATAGCTCTGACCCCCGGGCAACTTTATTTATTAACATACAAATAATATTTTAATACAAATAAAATATCACCATAATTTATTGTTCTTGTAACTGAAGTTAGTTGGTAGTAGTTAGTGAATGCTTTAAACAAAACCAGCAATGTTGATAAACGTCTGTTGGTACACAACTACTTCTTACAGAATACATTTTTCTCTGTATGCTAATATTTTGTGTTAAATCTCTGCCTACAGAACACTCAGCATGACAGTATATGAAATATGTACGCTTTTCATAAGCAATAATAATGGAGGAAGATGCAAGTGTGCCTCAGTGGGAGGATATATGCCTTTGTATATATGTAGTCTTGATTAGAATCCTCAGTACATATGTAAGTGATATAGATTGATGGATAGATACATGATAGTCAGACAGACAGACATGGTGACCTACTGAATTTGTTATCTTTCTGTCACTGTGACCAAGTATCAGACAGAAACAAATTAAGGATTGAAGTGCTTGTTTCAAAATTAAATCCAAAGATTGTGATTTCAACGGATTTTGTTAATGGTTGCTAGGCCCTGAAACAATGAGAACAACATTATGGTGACCGTTTGTTCTCTCTGTTTCATGCTTGTGGTTCAAGATGTGAGCTTTCAGCCTCCTGTTGCCACCGCCATGCCTGCCTGCTGCCCTCACTCCGACATACCGGACTCGAAGCCTCTGTAACTACAAGCCAAAATAAACAACTCCTTCTATGTGTTGCCTTGGTCATGGTGTTTTATCACAGCAACAGAAAAGTAACGGATATGAGAGGTCACTAGACCTTTAGTCACCATTCTCTTCCCTGAAAACCTCAGACGTGTGCATTAAACCCACTGCAGCTCTGTCTCTCCCTCCCTCCCTCCCTCCCTCCCATCCTCTCTCTGTCTCTGTCTCTGTCTCTCTCTCTCTCTCACACACACACACACCAGGAATCGCTGCTTCATCTTTCTTTTTAAAAATATTCCCAAACTTGAGGAAGAATCATCCTAATATGTCAACAGACACACTCCATATTCCTGACAGGCCTCAAGAGGAAACATCAATATGATATTGGCATAAAACTTCAACTAAGATAAATTTCCCAATAATTTCATGTAGAACTGGGTGACAAAACATAGTTATGACTAACTAAAATGAGAACATTTTTTTTCACAGACAACATCCTGAGGCACCCATCTCCAAATTGAGAGTAATTTTGTAGATTATAATGGTCATCATTGTTGCCGGAGTTTCCCACATAACTTATAATACCCAATGCATTCAACTAATTTACCACATTTAATGATGCATTCAACTAATTTACCACATTTAATGATGCCTTCTCAAATGTGTGCCTTTTTTAAAATATTGGGTACTATGTTACATACATACATACATACATACATGCCATATAATATCACTTAGGGCCAGAATTTACCAGAAACAGAGCTGTCACAATATACAATATGGGTGACATATAGTGTACTGATGTGATAAGCTATAGGAAAAAAGAAAAGTGGTATGTCCACGCCATTGGACCTGCGAAAATGGGAGTGCATGGGAGGGCACCCAGGGAGGGAAACTGGTGGTATCGGCTACATACATCCCCTTCTTTTCCCTGTCCTGCAAGCCTGAGAGTGGATTGCACATGGTGTAACATAGTGCTTCCCTCACTAAGAACCTCCAACTCCACACATCAAGATGATGGCCCAATGTGCCCTCCCCCCAGAGTCAGAGCAAGGAGGTATGGGACACAGTGGTGACAGAGCAAATGCTCAGACCTCCAGACACTGGGGACATACAGAAAGCAATCAAGGCAGGCAGTCCCAGGCATTAGAAAGATCCCACATCCCCACAGATCACAGCATGCCTTTTCCTCAGAAATGTAAAGATACATTCATCACTGAGGGTTTGCTGGACCCAACCTGATGAGCTCCCAGCGCCAAGCCAGGATGACAGCCAGCCACAGGCCAGTGTTAGTAAGCAGGAGTGTCAGACTGGGAGCAAACCTTTTTTTTTTTTTTTTTTTTTTTTTTTGGTTTTTCGAGACAGGGTTTCTCTGTGTAGCTTTGTGCCTTTCCTGGAACTCACTTGGTAGCCCAGGCTGGCCTCGAACTCACAGAGATCCGCCTGGCTCTGCCTCCCGAGTGCCGGGATTAAAGGCGTGCGCCACCACCGCCCAGCACAAACCTATTTTTGATGCTACCAGAAGACACAAGGAAACCACCACCACTCATGTCCAAAAGGCAAGGCAGTTGGGTAAAGAGACTCCTCTGGATCAGAGGAGACTAGACACAGCAGAAGAAACCTAACTTCAACAGGACATGGGAGATCTGAGTGGGAGGCTCAGGCCCTCTAGCTACCTTCTCCTGCCTGGTCACTGTCATCAGGTGTCTTCGTGGCTGTGAGTCCTAGGTATGAAGCTGTCTGGTCCCTCTTTTGTTAGGTTGTTGTAGGGAATACCAACAGACATCCAGACCTACAACATCCTCTCTGTCCTTGAACTTGTTATGTAGACCAGGCTGGTCTCAAACTCCTAGGCCATCTGGCTCTGCTTCCCAAGTGATGGGATTAAAGGCATTCACTATCAGTGTACACAGTTTAGACCAGGGATTTTGCCTTCCTTCCCACAGAGGTTACCACATACAATTGAGCATCTCTCCTCTGGCAAGGCAGCTTGGGAGCTGAACAGTCCCAGAGTACTTCCTCCACAACCCCCGGTTCCCTCCTATGGACTCTCTTGAATCCTCTCCTTGGCACCTCTAAACTGGTCACCCTGAGGTTGTGCCAGGCACTATGGATCACAGGCAGGCATGCCCAAGCCCAGCTGCCCTCACCCTGGGAATGAAAAGCTAAGACAGTTAGTCTCCGTGGGGCCAGCACTTGGCTCTAGGGACCAGCCAGCAGCTAAGAATTCCTCACCAGCTGTTATCCCCAACCCCCGACAGGGACAACCCTCAGAACCAGTCCTCACAAGTGGCGAGGATGTAGCTGCACGGGATGGCCCTATAGTCCCCAGTGCCCTGTATTTCTTCTCTCCCTTCTTACTTTTCAGCGTTTTCACGGCCACAGTGACAGGCTTGGCAGTGCTGTCCATGTTAAGGCCAATAGCCTCTGCCATAAAAACCTGGCCAAAGCAGCCTTCTCCCAGAGGATTGCCGAGTGTCAGCCTGGCCATAGAAGCAGAGGCAGCGAGTATGTGCCCAGTACCCCCAGCCCTCATGGCCCTGTGCCACTGCATCCATAGACAGAGTAACCCCTGAGATCTCACCCTGGACCCTACCTCGGGAGTATTTCATCCCACCTCCAACAGGCTTCTGCCTGGTAGCCATCTAGCCCCCAACCACAGAACCCCACCAAGTACATTGTGTCCCTCACCAGCACTAACCGAGTTCTAGATATTTCCCACTTTGGGTCAGCAGACAGCTCAAGCTCAGAACTATTAGCCATAACAGTATGTTCTCTTGAGAATGGGTGGACGATGTGGACCAGGGGTATGTCAGAGTTCACGGAGGAGTAGGACTCCACGGTCACCTGCTTGGATCATTGGGGATAGGTTGGTGCCACACAATGGGTGCTGGGCATTGGAAAAGAGTTGACGTGGTATAACTCCTAGGAGAGGCAAGGTCAAGTCTATGTGAGGTAGAATGTAGGGCCAAGAAGAGGGGTGCTCATACAGTGGTTACCGAAGACTCAAAATTGTTTTGCATTTCAGAGTAACTTGGGATCCATGTGGAGAAGAGGAACAGGGAATGGTCAGCCCATCTGACTGCAGAGAAATGTCCCCTGGCAGGCCCTGGGCACTGCTGGGACTCTAGGAGGCTCAAAGCACAACGGAGAGATCAAATCTGGTATCTATTTTCAGTTACCTGTTGCTCAGGTGTGAATCGAGAACTCCTGTGAACAGCGGGAGGGCCCAGGCCCTTTCTTGCAGCTCTATTCAGGTAGCAGAGTGTCACAGTTGCCGCCATCAAAATTGAGAGGGAAAAACCCACGCAGAAGATGATGATGCCCGCGGATAAACTGCCGGCCTCGTTACCCTCTGCCGGCTCTCTCTCAGCTGCAAAGACATGAATGTTGGGGCTTCATGAGGCCTTATGGGACTTCCCATCAGCCTGAACCCCAGGCACCTGTGGGGAAGGGACCCTGGATACTCAGAGCTGGGGGACCTACGTCCCCCACTCACCTTGGTGGTCAAAAACATCTGTGAGTCAGGAGGGGCCAGACTCAGGAGAGAAGCCTGGCAGAGCCAGAAGCACCCACAACACCCACAAGGCTCCCAGGAGATCCCAGAGCCTCAAGGCAGGACTGTGGAAACCCACCTGGGGGATTGAGGGGGAGGCCTTTGCAAGACCAAGATGGGGCGGGTTGATGTTCCCATACCAGGCACAAGACCAGGGTGATTACCACAGGATGGACTGCAGTAAGTTGTAAGTGATCCCCTGCTGTCCCTGGCAGCTTTGTTATGTTCTGAGCCAGCACAAGAGGACAGACACAGCAGCAGCAGCAGAAGCAAGTACCTGGCAGTACCTCCAGCCATGCAGAGCGATGGGAAACCCCGAAATAATTGCCTGCCAGGCAGGTGTACTCCCCTGAGTCCTCAAAGGTGATATTGCGCAAGGACAGAACTTCTAGCTCCTTGTCGGCAGTGTTAATGTCTGATGTCTACAAAGAGAGAACAGAGAGCAATGGGCAAGCACCAGCACCTCCCTTTGGGTACCACAGCACAGTCCACATGCAGATGATGCAGTCAGGCTCCAAGGGAAATGTCACCTTTGCCACCACCCCAGCCCTGCCACAGCCATGGAGGCTCAGGGCCCTCTGCATCCTGTACCAAGCCACTGAACCTGAAGTCAGTCTCTCACGTGGTGGGCAATTCCCTGTCCAAGGTGAGCAACAGGCAGGTGGGGAGAGCATGGTGCCACGAAGAGGCAACATGCAGAGTTAGAGCAGAAATAGGAGATGTGCAGAAGGAAAGATGAGCAGACAGATGTGTGGACAGGAAGCCAGAGGCATCCGTGTCGGCCAGAGACCGGTAGAAAGTCGCTGTTCTCAAACAGCACGGGGCTCAACCCCTGGCAGGTTCTAAGGACCTTCGAAGCATGCAAGTGGAGCATGCAAGAGGACGCACAGGCCTGAGGGGCTTTGAAGGGGAAGTCAGTCAGTGCTGGCTGGGAGCTACCACTATTACCAAGGCGTCACAAGTAGAATGTGAACCACAGGTGGGGTCAAGCAGGAAAGGGGTGGCGCAAGGCATTGGGCAGGTACACAGCCGGGGCCCTGGAGCTGGAGCTTAGCGAGCCAGGCAGGCACAGAACAGTCATCGCCTGCTTGAGGCCTGTGAACATGCAGCCAAAATGCCTTCTCAGCCATGCCTATGAAATTGACGGCTCGGCAGAGGTACCTGCCCCTATCCCACTCCGACACATTGGCTGCATGGAGTTGTGCATCTGCCTCCGGAGTCTCACTGATCCAGGACAGTGGGGACATCCCAAGCCAGCTCCAGAAGAACATGAGGACAAGGCGGGGCAAGGGAGATCCCAAAGAATGGGCTGGGGACCGGGCAGCAACACCTGGAAGGCTGCCTGAAGGGAGGGACATATGGCAGTGATAGCTGTGGTTCCACAGACTGGCCTCCTCCGTGTCCACCCTACACACACACACACACACACACACACACACACACACACAGAGAGAGAGAGAGAGAGAGAGAGAGAGAGGCGGGGGAGATCACACTGGACATGGCTCTAGTGGCCTCTCTCAATATCCAGGATTCCAGCTCCTGCCAACACCTGTTCCTCTCCCCAACTAGATTTCCTTGTCTCTCAACAGATGTTTTTCTTTGGGTTTCCAGTGTTGCAAAGTGTGAACTCTCAAGTGGCCCCAACCTGCGGCCATGGAACAAAGCTACAGGCAGAGGGAGGCAGGACAGAGCCAGTGAAGGCAGAATGTACGTAGCCAGTGCTACAGTGCAGGCAGCTGGGGAGTGGGTAGCCTGTCCTCTAGGGTCCACAGGGTACTAGCTCAGCAGACATCCTCCTGCCCTGAGCCACCGCAACTGTCACTCAAGAGACGCCTTCTGCAGGCCCAGTCCTCGGAGCAGACGGGGAAACAAGTCCCATGGCAGGGCACAAGTAACACAGAGCCTTCCTGGAGCTCAGAGAAGGTGATAAGCACTGGGACCCATCTGCACCTTCTCAGAAGCTCCAACACCTGGGCCTAAGACCCAAGGTATCCCTCAGCCAAAGAGGGACTTACGGACCAGGGCCAAGGCACTCCCAGACAACCCAGCCACCCAACCACCTGCCAACAGCAGAGCCCACCTTGAGGACGGTGACATGGGGCTTGCCATTAGGGCCCATCTTGCTGCCATTCACCTCAACATGCTTCAGCCACTGGACGTGTGGTTGGGCATCACTATACACCTCGCAGCGGAACTCTTCATCACTGCCTAGAGTTTCTGCAGGATGGGCCGATGTGGGAAGCACTCTGTAAGACACAGCTAGGTCAGGTGCAGTGGGTCAAAGGGCCCAAGGCTGACCTGCCTTAATCACCCAGCCTGGCCTTCACCCCGCACGTCCAGTGTGTAAGTCTGCTGAATGCTGCCAAGCTCGTTCTGTACCACGCAGGTGTAGTTGCCACTGTCAGAAGGCACTGCACTCTCCATGACAGGCTCCAGTGCTGGTGCCTAAGCTGCAGGTAAACTTAGTAGGTGAGTGGACACAGGCTATACCCTCTGTATCCAGGCCCTACCCATCTGTGCCCGTTTCCCAGACCCACCCTGATGCCCCCTATGCGATGCTCCCCTCGGAAATCCTTGCCATTCTTCAGCCAGGAGATGGAGGGGGTGGGGTTGCGGGCGGCTGCGCAGTGGAAGCGTACCGTGCTGGTGGCTGGCACAGCCAGCAGTTTCATGTCCATACGGTCCGGTCGAGTCCAGTATGGGACCCTGATGGTAGAAGTGCTCATAATAGCATAGTTGTGCACCCTTGCAAAGCTGTCCTACCTACCCACCCTCTAGCCTTATCCTCATCTGTACTGAGACTCTTGCTTTGCCTGAACACTTTATCCACGGCTGCCCTACTCTCAGACTTGGGCATGTCCTCTTCTCTCCCGCTGAAGCAGGTCCACAGGTGCAGGTACCCAGGAGGTAGAACCCAGTAGGATGTTAGTCCTGGGAGGTAACCAAGTCAGGTCATGCCACCAGTGTGGCAAACTTGAGCTAGCCTCTGTAGCTTAACTTTTCCTGCCTGGTCCATGGTCAGGACAAATCTCTCTCACCTGCCAGTCCCACAGCCGTCAGACCCAACCAAGAAAACACAGAGACTTATGTTGGTTACAAACTGTATGGCCGTGGCAGGCTTCTTGCTAACTGTTCTTACAGCTTAAATTAATCCATTTCCATTAATCTATACCTTGCCACATGGCTTGTGGCTTACCGGCATCTTCACATGCTGTTTGTCATCGTGGCAGCTGGCAGTGTCTCTCTGACTCAGCCTTCCACTTCCCAGCTTTATTCTCCTCCTTGTCCCGCCTACACTTCCTGCCTAGCCAATGGCCAATCAGTGTTTTATTTATTGACTAATCAGCAACACATTTGCCATACAGAACATCCCACAGCAAGCCTCTGCAGTGCCCAGGGCCTGGTAGGGATCCTTCAGTTCATGCTTCTCCCACACTGAGTTCCCTCCTTCCTCTTTGCTGGGTGGATGACGCTGTTGTGCAATATTAGTTGAAGATGTGTTACAGTTGTTTATACTGTGAAATATTTGTTTGCGATGCAAAGATGTGTTGCATTCTTTTATGTCGCATTTAGCTCTGTGAAGTTGTGTTACTTTGCCTAAAATACCAGATTGGTCTACTAAAGAGCTGAATGGCCAATAGCTGGGCAGGAGAGAGAAATAGGTGGGGCTGGCAGGCAGAGAATAAATAGAAGGAGAAAGATCGGGAAGGAACAAGAAAGGGAGGAGAGGAGGATGCAAGGGGCCAGCCACCCAGCTACACAGCCAGCCACGGAGTAAGAAGTAAAGAAAGGTATACAGAATAGAGAAAGAGAAAAGCCCAGAGGCAGAAGGTAAATGGGATAATTTAAGAAAAGCTGGATAGAAACAAGCCAAGCTAGAGCCAGATAATCATAAGTAAGATGAAGTTTCTGTGTTTATTTAGGAGCTGGATGGCAGGCCCCCAAAGAGTAGAGTAAAAACAACCAACAACAGGATGCCATATTGTGGGACTCGTGAGGAAGCTGAGGGAGACAGCAGATTTCCGGAACAGAGAAGGGAAGCTGGGGCAGGGCCTTCCACAGCAACTCAACCACAGGGCCCTATGAATCTCTAGGAGGAGGAACCGCCATACAAAGTAGGAGTAAAGTGTTCAGACACTGGTGAGGGGCCTCTCCTAGCTCTGAGCTGCCCTCCCAGGCTCCAAGTGTGGCCAATGGGCTTGACAGAAGACAGCCACACTGGGGGACTTCAGTGACTTAATGCTGCCCGCGCCAGGCAAAGTCAAGAAGGAGACCCACCTGGCACCTTACCTAAGCCTATGTGGGGCATAAATACTAAACACAACCAACAGGAACTTAGGGCAGAGGCACTGGTGATGTGGTTGGGGCAGGAGCTATAGAGCACCTTGGTTAGAAATTTTGCTCTGAACAACCCGGTAGCCAAAGGGAAAGGGGAAACGAGAAGCCAACCCACTTCTCAGGACTACTACCCTCTGTTGGCTTCAGTCCTAGAATCCAAGTCCATTTCCATGAGGGTTCCACTCTGAAATCTCATACAAGCCTTTATGCCTGCTTTCCTCACCCACACACACTCATAAATTCATTACCCTCTTTTCCCAATAATTTTGTCTCTCTGATTCCTCTCAACACCTTTCCCACTGTACCCCAGAAGGCCCCAGATGGACTGAGTACTCAGTCAGCACCAGTCTAGTCTCAGAGTCATAGCCACCTCCACATACAATGTCTGGACCCATGGTGGCCTTCATATACACACATACATTCTCTCTCTCCTGCCGTAGTTCTAGGCCATAATATGGGCACTGCCATCCATGTGCCCTCATTACTCACACCCAATCTGTGATGCCCCCTTTACGACATAAGCCTCAGCATGGTACTCCTCCCCTCCTGCTGGCCTGAAGTAGACACTAGTCCCCTTAATCCTTGTTATCTACTTACTCATCAGTGGCAACCTCAGCTCCCTGCCTGGCTTGCTGGCACTTGTGATGCTCCTTCCCACCAGAGTCCATACCAAAATTCCTGCAGAGCTGCCCTGCCCTCTCACTGCTCCTGGAGCACTGCCCCCTGTCCCAGTGTCCTCTAACAACCAGCCTACGGGAAGGAAGCAGCCTGACCCCGACTAGCTCAGTGTGCCTAGGCTCTGATCTCACCTGTGTCATCAGCCACATCCTCCCCATCTTCATCATCTCCTAAGGCTGCAGCATCTGCAACAGTTATAAGCAAGCAGTGGTCCTGTGACACTGCCACATCCAGAGATCTGCTGCTCCCTGTTTTTGGAGTCCACTGCTCTCCACCTTCAGGGCCCACTGCTCCCTGCCTTCGGGATCCTTCCTTTGCAACACCACTCCTTCAGACAGCACATCCTTGGGGGTATCCCTACTCTCTTATCTACAGCCAACAACACTCCTGAGCCAGAGATACTGCAGCCACCCTGCCTAGGACTGCCCTGACCTCCCTGGCCATGCAGCTGCTCAACATATTTGGCAGCCTCAGCCACCAAGCACTTACCTGTCACACGCACAGTGAAATGGCACCTCATACCCCAAGTGAGCTGCTGACGACAGATGTAGACCCTCGCATCCTCACGGGAGGCATTCAGCACTTGTAGCCTTTGGGGCCCCGCCAGGATGCGGTGGGAGGTTACCAGCCTTGTGCCGTCCTTAGACCAGACAGTGCAGCCTGTGGAGGCTCCTCCAGGCAGAGAGCAGATCAGCTCCAGGGTGTCCCCACTGCCGAAGGCCACCTGCTCCTGCTGGAGAGGCTCAGGCCCTGGGACCTCTGTGGATGAATTGGAAAGCTGCGAAAGAGTCTCCAAAGCAGCATGTGAAAGCCCACACTCTACTTTGCAAACACACTAGCAAAGGCTGTGGCAGGCAAGTGAGGGGCATGCTCCTGGGGCTTGGGGTCTGGCCAGACTACGTTCAAACCAGGAGTAGGCAAACTATTTCAGTAAGAGTCCAGTGACATCCGCATCTCAGCTCTGTCAATGGTCTGTGCTAAGGCTTCTGGCTCTGTCCTGCAGGAGGAAGCTGTCTTCTGCCTCGACCCACACAGCTGGAGCACGAAATCTGGTGAGGGACGCCGAGGTTAAACAGCACTCAGGACACCCAGTCTCCGTTCATCAGCGAAGCTCTCTTTGTTCACACAAACATGGGCTTATACACCCCTCTAACAGCAGGGGTCAAGGAACGGTTACTCTGTATCCGGAGGCAAGCCGGACACTGTTTTCCAAACAGGAAAAACCACAGGGGAACTGATCCCCAGCACTTTCAAGAACCCAACTGCACATTTTCACACAAACAACTTATGCAAACACAGCATAACTGAGACAGGACAAAAAAGGGCATTTAAGATTAAGGCAGCAAACTTATTGCTGCAGACAGTCTTCCAAAGATGGTACGGAAGAAGCACAGCAGCCCGCCCAGTAGCTGGAAGATCTCAAAGTGTCCTGAAGATTGGGGGCAGTTCTATGGTACATCACCTGCCTGGAATATCTGAAGCCTTAAGCTCATTCCCAGCACCAGCGAAAAAGTCCCACATTTTCCTTCCTCTGATCCTCCCACTCTTTGGAAATGTACAACCAATCCTTAGCTCACAGGAAGGCACAAAACAAGTGAGAGACAGGCTGTCATTCTCTGGCCTCGGGATCAAAGCTCAGAGAAAGGATAGGGAGGCATTTCACTGCCTTCTTAGCACCCAACCCACATCTTATTCCAACACGGTTTGATGGAGAGGAAGCAGACATCTGAGTGTGGTGACTCATACACTCAGAAGCCTGAGTCAGAAGGATTGACACGAGCTCACGGCTAGCCTGGGCTAGTGTGAGACTGTGTCATGAACAAAATAAAAATAAATGAAAAGAGGGAAGTCATATACCTTTAAACCAAGCACTCAGGAGGCAGAGGCACATGAATCTCTTTATTTGAAGCCAGCCTGGTCTACAGAGTGACTTCCAGAACAACCAGAGGTACACAGAGAAACCCTGTCTTGAAAAACAAAAATAAAAGCAAAGAAACAAACACACAAAAATAAAAAAAGAAAGAAAGAAAGGATGAAAGACACAGGGTCATTCAAGAATGTGATTGGACAGCACTTGCTTGCATGCACCACCAGAGTTCTATTCACAGTAGGTACACACTTCCACCAGCAGCAGAAGTGTACCAGTTGGGGGGCCTTGGACTGAGGCAGTCTGTGACTTGCAGCTTATATGCCCACTAGATACAACAGCCAGTTAGGAAAATAGGACAGGTAAACATTAAGGACAGCAGTCTGGATATTACTCAGGTCAGCAGTCTAGGAGGGTCCATACGAGCTCACGGGGTATCTGAGGACCTGGGACCCCCATTTCACAAATGAGGACCATGCTTTTGCCAGGGGACATCAGAGTGGCCATGTGAGCCAATTGAAGCTAGAATCACAGCCAAGTGGAGATAGCCACCTATCCTGAGGGTTAAGAAACTGGAGTAGTGTAGCCCCCCGGGTGGTTAGACACAGGTGCCCATACACCTCTCCCCTACTCAGATGGTGTCCAGCTTATGAGGAGACCCAAAGGCCGCACACTTAGGGACACACCACCAGCTGGCAATCACACCCAGACCTCCCTGCTAGAACCCAACAATGCCCATCACAGGGGCAGTTCTTCCTGCTAGGACCCCACAATGCCCATCACAGGGGCAGCTCTTCCTGCTAGGACCCAACAATGCCCATCACAGGGGCAGTTCGGCTCAGGGCCCAGGACAGGGGCAGGTAGTCCTGCTGAGCAGACGTCCTTCCTTAGATACAGATGGACTGGTTACAATGTCATTCTGTGGATGCACAGCCTAGATTCAATGCCCACTCAGGCCACACCAGTCCCAGCTGTGCCTATCCCAGAGTCATCCCACAGATCCAAAGTACACCAGGATTCTGACGGCCAGAGGGACTGTCCCCAATGTGGGACTCAATGAAGTCTCACAGAGGCACAGCTTTCAGCTTGTCCCTGGGTGGACCTCACAGCAAGGGCCCTTCTAGCCAGCTCTCCAATCCTGCTGCCACGTCCTATGGGGGGCTATGGAAGGCTGCAAGCTGCCTGAGGCATCACAGAAGACCAACAACAGTCTCAGTGCAACTGTGGCCCTAAGGCAACAGCCAGTTAGTTCCGGTTTAGTCTGGGCAAGACAAAAAGGTCAAGCTCTTCACACAAGTACCCAGAGCAGGAGAGTGACTAGGGAAAGACACAGCATCCCCCAGGCCAGCCCCATGGAGAGCCAGATTGCTGGAGATATGGAGTGGGGACAGGAAATGGCCCTGAATCAGCTCAGCTGACATTTGATCTGTCTACTAGGAGCCAGCACAGCCCAGACACCTAGACTTTGGGGGACTCGGGCAACGGCAGATCCAACCCTGTGATCCCATTCCAGGGTCACAGGGCCTAAAGCATTTGTGTCATGAGTCATGCAGGGAACAAGAGAAGGACAGTGTAGGACGGGGCTTGAGACAACACAGAATATGGTACACCCTGAGGAGGTAGTGTCAGATCACAGGCTAATGGAACGCTCACACCCCCATCAGCCTTCAGAGCATCGGAGAACACAGATATTTTAGATTACAATTCATAACACTAGCAAAATCACAGTTAAGAAATAGCAATGAAATAGTTTTATGGTTGGGGTTTACCACAACATGAAGAAATGTATTAAAGGGTCGTAGCATTGGGAATCTCTAGAACCACTGTAGCTACTGTTTCCCCGTATTGAGCACACAAACCCAGCTTGCCCCACCTACCAGGGGTGGCCAGTGTGGCTGGGGCCTAGCCCTGCCCCACAGCCCTCAGGTCCAGCCAGCTCTTGCTTGGTAATTTATGCTCCCAGAGAGAGTGCCAGCCATGTCTGTATTTTCACTGCAAGGCCCATCTAGTTAAGGAAAAGGATTAAATTTATTGGCCTGTCAACTCCCTGGGTGGGAAAGAGCTGGTGCATGTCCCGCCAGTCCACCTTCACTGCCTGGAGCACAGAGAACATCTGCATCCCCTTTGACCTGAGATCACTCACACTAGACACAGGGAGCAATGTCTTCACCTAATATTAATATGGTCCCCGGTCAATGGCCATTTGGCTCCTGAGGAAGCACCTCCATGCAAGCTGATGCTCAGAGTGGGCTGACTGCTGACCTCCTGACAGCTGCTGTCATGCCAGCCGAATGACACGCACGCTCAACCTTCCAGCACACTTCCATTAATTAAAAAAAAAAGAAAAGAAAAAAAGTTCCAGGAGCCGCAGCTGCTGAGGAAGGAAGAGTATTAGGGGAGCTGGGCAGCCCTACTCAGACCTCCCTGGGAGGCTGAGCTGCCATAGATGCAGGCAGTGGGGGGCTGGGGGAGGCAGCGGGGAGCTGGGCCACCGGGGTACAAACACCAAGGTTCGAAGGAATGGCTGTTGGGACACCTGCTCCGTGGGCAATAGCTCCCCATTCTTGGTGTGGCACCGGCAGCCCATTGGCCCGCATTGCCATGCTGGAGCCAGGCATAGGGGAGCAGAGGTTAAGGAGAGCCTGTACACACATACTTACCTAAGGGGGGTCAAGCCTCACCTCGGGCCTTGTTTGATGGAATTCAGTGTCCCATCAGACCTTGCTGTCCAGCCAGGCTGCATAGCTGATGCTGGGATCTTGGGACACCTGCCCATCACCTCCCAGAGTGTGGTCTACAGAGACGTGCCTCTGAGAGACCACCCCTCAAGACACCTATAGGCAAAGAGAGGAGTGGAGGCCCTGAAGCTGTCACCTTGTCATGTGAGACACTGAGTGACAGAAGCTAAGCTTTGGTCAGGGTACTCCTGCCCACCCCCAAACTCTAGCCTTCATTTTGGCTGAAGCTGAGCAAGAACTGTCCTGGAGGCCTTGGAAACCAACAAAAGACACTTCTGGTCAACGATGGGAATTATGGAAACTCAGCAAACGGCCCTCCTGAATGCTTAGGCTGAGGAACTAATCGGCTCCCTGCACTGTGAACCACTCTGGGTTGCCTCCCACTTGGGTAGTGGCACCAAGGCCCCAGACACCTCATACACTACCACATCCCAATCTGTTGGTTTGGGGGTTAAACCAAACTCACTGTTCCCCATGGTGCTACTCAGCCTAACAACCCCTACTCACGCAAGGGCTGTTTGCCATCCCCAAAGCCTCTGATGGCCACCACCATACCCCCAACACATCCCACCCTGCTGCCAGGAATCTTGAGTCAGTCCATACCTGCTTCTCCCCTCACAAGCTCTGTGCTAGGAGGCCGGGAGGCAGCTCTGGCCCCAACCACTATGCACAGCACTGGCAAGCAGGCCAGGGCTCCCATGACTGGACATGGTAGTGGAATCCTCAAGTACCGGGTGTGAGCATGTTATATACCCAAGGCCTGGCTCCTTGGCCAATGG